ATGTTGTCTAGAAGGCACAAGGCACGTTGGTCCCATTTCTTGGACAGGTGAGGGTCCATGGGGATGCCATCATTCAGTGCCTCATGCACCATGAGAATAACCTGTGTCAACAGACTGCTGACATCCAACAGCTTGCGTAGAGTTGCACCTGCACCTAACCCTTACGGGATCTTTGCCACATGTTGTCATGAATGTGACAAAGACCGGGTCAAATTTTTGAGTAATAGACACCTTAACTGACAATGTAGGTCTCGAGCATTCTGCCCAAAGCATATTTCTGTTGTTCTTTTCCAATGGCCGGCAGAGCCAGTATCACAGAAACTCGCAATATGATTGACATTCGCTGGGAGCCTTGCCCCTGTTCACAGATGCGTTGCAACCATACCATGGGTGCTTGCAGTAGGAATCCATGTGAACACATCGGTGGGATCTGCCAGAGGCAGAGCCCTCATGCCCCAGTGTGATGGGAGATTCAGTGAGGGTGCCTGAGGAGGCATATCAGATTTGAGTGCGACCAGCACCTTAGGCAGAGAGCAGGGCCGGCACTTCCTATAAGGCGAACTAGGCAGCCGCCTAGGGTGCCATATAGGAAGGGGCGCCCTGATCCCCCATCGCCGGCTCTTTAAATTCTATAGAGAGCGCTCAGGCGGCTGCCGCACTGCCTCACCTCCCCTGCCCTGTAGCGTGGCCGAGCTCCTCTCCGGTCCGCGACCCGGCCGGACTGACAGGAACTGACACTTCCTGTCAGTCCGGCCGGGTCGCGGACCGGAGAGGAGCTCGGCCACCCTACAGGGCAGGGGAGGTGAGTAGAACAGGATTACAAGGAGGGAGGGGTTAGAAGGTTATGGGGGGAAGAGAAGATTATAAGGGAGGGGGGAGAAGATGGGAGGGGGGATGGGCTTAACCAGGCGTTTGTGTTACAGGAAGGGGCGCTTCCCCGATCCCCCACGGGCCTTAAATTCTATAGAGAGCTTCAGCGGCCGTCGATCAAACACTGCCCCTGGCGCGGGTCGGTGCCCTCCTGTCCCACGACCCGCCCGGACTGACAGGAACTGACACTTCCTGTCAGTCCCGCCGGTCGACCGAGAGGAGGCTCCGCCACCCTACAGTGGGCAGGAGGTGAGCAGAAACAGGATTACAAGGAGGGAGGGGTTAGAAGGTTAAGTGGGGGGAAAGAGAAGATTATAAGGGAGGGGGAGAAGATTGGAGGGGGGAGAAGATTATAAGGAGGGAGGGGAAAGATGGAGGGGGGGAGGAAGGTTATGGGGGAGAAGGGAAGATTACAAGGGGAGGGGGGGAGAAGATTATAGGAGGGAGGTGGAGAAGATGGAGGGAGGGGGGGGAAGGTTATGGGGGGAGAGCAGATTATAAGGAGGGGGGAGAAGATGGGAGGGGGAAGATCATAAGGGAGGGAGGGGGGGAGAAGATGGAGGGGGAGAAGGTTAAGGGGAGAAGACTATAAGGAGGGGAGAAGATGGAAGGAGGGAGGAGAAGATTATAGTGGGGGAGAAGATGGGAGGGGGAGAAGGTTATGGGGGAGAAGATTATAAGGGAGGGAGGGGGAGAAGATAACAGGAGTGGAGGGGGGGGAGAAGAAGGAGGGAGGGGGGAAAGATGGGATAGGAGAAGGTTGGTGGGGGGAGAAGATCATATGGAGGGGAGAAGATCATAGGGAGGGAGGTGGGAGAAGATGGGAGGAGGGGGAGAAGGCCATGGGGAGAGCAGATCATAAGGGAGGGGGGGAGAAGATGGAGTGGGAGGGGAGAAGATGGGAGGAGGGGGGGAGAAGATGGGAGGGAGGGGGGGAAGATCATATGGGCTGGAGGGGAGAGAAGATGGGAGGAGAAGATGGAGGGGGAGAAGATTATAAGGGAGGAGGGAGAAGATGAAGGAGGGGGAGAAGGTTATGGGGAGAAGATTATATGAGGAGGGGAGGAAGATGGAAGGAGGGGAGAAGATGGAGGGAGGGGGGGAGAAGGTCATGGGGGAGAAGATCATAAGGGAGGGGAGAAGATTTACAAGTGAAGGGGAGAAGATTTCAGGGGAGAAGATTATAAAGGAGGAGGGAGAAGATGGGAGGGGGGGAGAAGATGGGAGGGGGGAGAAGGCCATGGGGGAGAAGATTATAAGGGAGGGAGGGGGGAGAAGACACAGGAGGGAGGGGGGGAGAAGATGGGGGGAGACGATTCCAAGGGGGAGCGACAGGTGGGAAGAAGGGGGGAGGAGAAGGTTACGGGGAGAAGATTGGCAGGAGGGAGGTGGGGGGAGTGGAAGACTACAGGAGGGAGGGGAGAAGAAGAAATTGAGGAGGGGAGGGGGGAGGAGAAGATTGAGGAGGGGGGAGAAGAAGAAGATTACAGGGGAGGGAGGGGGGAGAAGAAGAGAAGATTATGGGGGAGAAGAAGAGAAGGTTATGGGGAGAAGAAGAGAAAAATTATGGGGGAGGGGAGAAGATTACAGGGAGTGGGGGGGAGAAGAAGAGAAGATTACAGGGGGGGAGAAGAAGAGATTACAGGGACAGGGGAGAAGAAGAGGAGAACACGAGGGTGGGAGAGACCACTAAAGGAGGGAGGGGACGGTGGAGAGACCATTAGGACAGATTAGGACAGATCTTGAATTGTAACACGATTATTCTGAAGCATGCATTGAATGTCCTTCCTGATCACCAGTAGCTTGGAGGGTGGGAGTTTCAGCACTGCACATACAGAGTCCACAGTAAACTCCAGGAACTGAAGTGGGGGGAGAGGAGAGACCACTAATGGAAAGTCGGGGAGAAAAGGAGACCACTAAGGGAGGTGGGGGGGAGAGGGGAGACCACTTAGGGGCAGGGGAGATATCTAAGGAATGGAAGGGAGAGCTCTATAGGACAGGGGGCAGGACAGGGAGCTCTTTCACACACCACACACACACACTATACACACAGAAACACAACATGCTTCCCTTACACACAGAGAAACACACAATGCAACCCTTACACATAAAGACAATGCATCCTTTGCACAAATACACAGAAACACACAATACATCCCTTACTTACACATGCAAACACACACTGCTTCTCTTACACACACACAGAAACACAATGCATCTCTTACACACACTCAACGCATCCCTTACATACACAGAAACACACTTTGCATCCCTTATGCATACAAACACAGATTCACACAATGCATCCCTTACACACAATAAGAAACACACAATACATCTGTTATACACAAACACTCACTGCTTTCTGTCCCTTACACAAAAACACACTGCTTCCACTACACACAAACACACTGCATCACCTACACAAACTGGTGTCCCTATACACTACATTCCATAAGCACACACATTAGATCCTCTACAGTAACACATAACACATCCCCTACACACTCTACTCCCTGTGAGCGGACTCATGGGTGGAACATGTAGGTGGACTTATGGGTGGGCTTTATGGGCATACTCACCGTCAGGCCCTGGGGCCCAGACCTTGAGCTATGTAAGAGGCCCCAAAAATGGAGCTGCTTCCCGTTCTCCCAGAACATTGAATTTTGTGACCACAGTTACAAACAGGCTCCAGAGATCCTGTTCTACACCAGACCAGTGGAGCCAGGGCCGGCGCTACCTGTAAGGCGGACTAGGCAGCCGCCTAGGGCGCCCCTTGGGAGGGGGCGCCGCCAGGAGCGCCGGCCCCGCTCATGCTGCAGCCGCCCGAGCGCTCTGTAGAGAGCCTCAGGCGGCTGCAGCTTTGCCCGGGCGGTGCGTCCATGAGGGCGGACCGCACCGCCCGGGCGCAGCCTGAGGAGAGGGGGCTGACAGGAGGGAAGCGCTGAGCGCTCCCTCCTGTCAGCTTCCTCTATATAGCGTGGCCGAGCCCTGTATAGTTGGCGGGTACAGGGAGTATCTGTCTCCTGTACCCGGCCGGACTAACAGGAAGTGCACACATTGTGACCACAGTTACAAACAGGCTCCAGAGATCCTGTTCTACACCAGACCAGTGGAGCCAGGGCCAGGGACTAACAGGAAGTGCACACATTGTGACCACAGTTACAAACAGGCTCCAGAGATCCTGTTCTACACCAGACCAGTGGAGCCAGGGCCGGCGCTACCTGTAAGGCGGACTAGGCAGCCGCCTAGGGCGCCCCTTGGGGGGGGCGCCACCAGGAGCGCCGGCCCCGCTCATGCTGCAGCCGCCCGAGCGCTCTGTAGAGAGCCTCGGGCGGCTGCAGCTTTGCCCGGGCGGTGCGTCCATGAGGGCGGACCGCACACATTGTGTGCACTTCCTGTTAGTCCGGCGAGGTACAGGGAGCAGATACTCTCTGTACCGCCGACTATACTAGGCTCAGCCACACTACAGAGATAGGGGGAGGAGGGGGAGAAGAAGTGGGAGGAGGAAGGGGGGAGAAAGGAATTGTCAGGGAGGGAGAAGGTACCAGGGGGAGGAGAAAAGTGGGAGGGGAAAGAAGAATTGTCAGGAGGGAGAAGAAAGTGGAAGGAGGAGGGGAGAAAGAGCCAGGTAGGGGGAAAGAGGCAGCAATGTCAGGGAGGGGAAAGAAAAATTAGCAGGGAGGAGAAATTGGGAGGGAGGGAGAAAGAAATTGTCAGGAGAGGGAGAAGAAAGTGGGAGGAGGGAGGGAGAGAAAAGTGCAGGAGGAGGGAGAAAGAAATTCGCCTACTCAGGGGAGGGAGAGAAAATTGGGAGGGGAGGGGGAGAAGAAGAAATTGGTAAGGGAGGGGGAGAAGAAGAAATTGACAGGGGGGAGAAGAAGAAATTGGGAGGGGAGGGGGGGAGAAGAAGAAATTGGTGGGGATGAGGGTGAGAGTGACAGGGGAGGGAGGGGCAATGAGAGTGGGAAGGGGGAGGGGAGAAGAGAGTGACAAGGGAGGGGGGGAGAAGAGAGTGACAAGGGAGGGGGGAGAGATTGACATCCATCACACACACATGCAATGCACCCCTTGCACACAGAAAAACACACAATGCATTACACACAGACACACACACAACACATGCAACCCTTACAAACAATGCATCCCTTACACACACACAAACACACAATGCATTCCTTACACACACTCAATGCACCCCTTACACACACTCAATGCACCCCTTACACACGCACACACTGCATCCTGTACATACACAGAAACACACCTTGCAGCCCTTACACATACAAACTCAGATTCACACAATGCATTCCTTACACACATATCAGGACATCCCCTACACACTCCACCCCCTGTGAACAAACTCATTGGTGGAACATGAAGGTGGACCCTGGGACCCAGACCTTGAGCTGTGTAAAGGGCCCCCAAAAAATGGAGCTGCTTACCGTTCTCCCAGAACATTGATTTTTGTGACCACGGTTACAAACAGCCTCCAGAGAGCCTGTTCTACACCAGACCAGTGGAGCCAGACTGCAGCTAGAGCCCATCATCATCCTCATCTCATTGTAAGTAGGCAATCTAGTATATTATTCGTGGCACTAATCTCTAATTTACCTCACATTAAAGAAACACTATAGTCCCCAGAACCACTGCAGCTTAATGTAGTCGTTCTGGTGTCTATAGCCTGTCCCTGCATGCCTTATAATGTAAACACGGCGGCACTGCAGCACTGGCGTTAGTTAACATGGCAGATCATATGGGTGGAGCATTGTGATGTCACATGGGGGGGGGGCGGCAAACTTTACTTTTGCCTAGGGCGGCAAAAATCCTTGCACCGGCCCTGAGTGGAGCCAGACTGCAGCCAGAGCCCATCACCATCCTCATCTGATTGTAAGTAGGCAATCTAGTATATTATTAGTGACACTAATCTCTAATTTACCTCACATTAAATGGACACTATAGTCCCCAGAAAGATTGTGGTGAAACCAAACACATTAAACTTCTCACACTACATATAGAAAAAATATTGTTATGTATTACCTACATATATCAAGTCTTTTAATAATGTGAACATGGATATTTTGGCTGTATGTAACAGAAGCTTTCCCTATCATGAAGGAATGATGGAAAATGAAGATGGGTTAAAACCTAATCTCACAAAGGGGGTCTTCATTTACAAAATAAATCTGGACATAGTAACATCATTTCTGTGTAATGCAAGTAGGGGGTTTTCCCTGTTAATCATGGTGCAGATTTGATCTAGAACGCTCATAGGATACCATATGTTGCAGTGGTGCTCTGAGTGATATATGTCCTGTATTTTTAAGCATTTGTCCAAATCTGTGGATTTGGTAACAATTAATTCCCTTGGGCACAGGAACCTGAAAAAGCTGTTGTTCAAAAGAGGCAGTTTCAAGAAGGTTTGACAGTGTATGGAACTTATGACCTTAAATTGACACTCATTTATGCACTTTAGATTATCCCAACTTTATGATAGCCTTAAGAATGTTCTCAAAAGGATAAAAGAATATAAAAGCTCCCTTGTTAGGAAAAAATGGATAGCATGTGGTGCTGCACTCCTGTGAGGTACAACTTAATAGTATTATGGGAACGTTTCAGATTAAGGTGGCAAAATGCTCTAAAGACGACTATAGTTACAAATGGAAAAACAGCCGACAACTGAAATTCAAAGGTAAATCAATTGAAATATGAAAACCCCTGTCATAAAATCTCCTAGTATTGCCTGATAATGCTGCTTGTGCCAGTATAAT